GATTCAAATTAATGAAAGAGAAAAGTGGAAGCACAAGAATAATTCATAAAAACCATAAAAAGAAGAAGGCACCAAATTTGAAAGGTAGAAAATAAGAATGTGAAATTCACTTCAAAGCTAATATACTGTAAAAAGAAAATCCCAAGGTCACCTGGGAAAAGCTATTTTTACACAGTAAAATTTTGCAAACAATGTTTAGAAGCTATATATGACAATAAAATCAAGTACCAAAAACAATTAAGTACCATTCAAGGACAATTTCAGGCCAATGATATTAGCTTCCTTTAACCTATCAGGAAAATACTAACTTGTGTCTTAAAGGCACATGTTAAAAAAATCAAATGTAGAAATCTTGAAAATTGTGTATTCAATTCTTCAAAAGTTAAAAAATTGATTTTCCCATCAGAAAATTTCTATAATTGAAATGTTTAACATGTGCGCTTTAGCCCTTAGGGCACAAATGACCTGATCTGTTAATACCCTCGGATGAAGCTTTCTTATCCAAATTTCAATCAAGAGTTTTTTTGGGACTTATGTCATTTCAAATATTTGAGAGATAAAGTAAAATGGAGTATATAGAATGCCAATTCATCTAGAAACACTTTAAAACAAGCTTGGAAGCCAAAATTGGAAATCTAACTGTGCCAAAACACAGAGTAGGTGCCTTGAATTGAATCCATCATAAAAGTAACAGCTATAGATAAATTCAACTTATATTACCAAATAATCTATAGCTACAAGACAAATTGAACTGTTTATACTGTCTTTTTTTAACACAACAATTTTGCCATATATATAATATAAATTACACATAAATAGAAGGCAAACGGGCAACAAGCAGCACCGCTACCTCTTTTTGGATGGCAAAACCATTTTTATGATCGACATTACCTTTTTACAGTAAGATTAAAGGAAAAGTTACCATAGTCATAACAGATTACTTGTTGTACAAGAAGCCAAACTCGAGAATAAAGGATGGTGGGTCTTATTGTGGTTTGGGCATGTGTTAAAACTTGAGAAGGCATTGGTAAAAATGGCAGATCAAGATAGAAGATAGCTCAATAATTAGAGGTAGAAAGAAATCAAGCAAAACAATAAACTAACTCATCAAGAAAGAATCGAAGTTAAATTATCTATAGGGCAGAACATGATTCGTGACAAGAACAGGACAGGACAGGACATAATGAGATCATTAAGTTCATATAACTGATCCGACCTAATGGGAGAAAAAAATGGTTTGTATTGTTATTGTTGTTGTTGTCGTCAAAAAACAAATAATGCCTTTACTTGTGATGTGGTACTGATTCTCAAGCAGTAATAATACTAAGAATACATCCAAGAAAACTTAAAAACAACAAAATTTGTAGAGTTGTGTATGCGATGATTTTCCAATTGCCATATCAGAATAAAACCAACAGAAATCCCTGAAGGTAGGAAATTTTACAGAATGAAGGAAACTCTAATAATTAAATTTGTCCACTTTCTTTAGTGCGCAAGCGGATAAAAATATAAACGGTATTTATGTGTATTTATTTTTATTTTATTTTAATTATTTCTAAAATAATTTAAAAAATGGAATGAAAGAAATATGCAAACCGTCATATAACAGTTAGTAGAAACAGAAGTTAAAGTTAAAAACAAAAACAAAAACTAAAAAGGGTATAATTGGAACAAAAATAGGCTACACCAAAACAATGTTTTGCCTTTACATATAGTTATAGATTATAGATTGTAGATAAAGGAAAACCAAAAAAAACTATAAATGATATGAAACCATTGAAAAGAACTTTATCTATATAGCTAGTAGCTACTATAAGTCCTTGTATGACAAACCAAAATAGAAAATGCAACCTGTTGTATTTTCATCTTGTTTGTACTTATTTAAGTGAGTTAATTTTAACATCTCTAAAGGGTAGCCTAACCCTAACCATGCAAATAAAATTGCCTATAACACTGGCTTACCTGTTAAAATAAAACACTCTCTAACTATCATAGTTCCAATTAATAACCTACTAAAGTAAACTCTATCTTTTTCCCTTAATTTGATCATAACTCACATTCTTAGATATAGCTCTATTATTGATCACCCTATAATAAAGTTATATAAACCTAGCCACCCCATAAACCTTGCAACACAATCCCCGGTTAAGTGCTAACAATTCTTGTGTTGATTGAGTCCATCGAGACGTAATGTTGCAACAAAAAGAGGAATAGGAAAAACAACGCAAGAAAGAAAGAGAAAAAACTAACCAAATAAGTTTGACTGAAAACAGGAAGATAAGCAATGTCCTCCGATTCACCCCAAGCCCTAATCAACTGTAAAGCCCTTGTCCTATTACTCTGCTCCACCTGCGGATTATCAATCAACCTAACCATATCCTCGAGAACCTTCTCAGACGCAATAACCGAAAACACCTTCTCACAATTCATCGCACAAGTTTCCAACAAATCCAGGCAATGTTTCTGAACCACAGGACTCTTCTGATTAATCCTCCTCTTGATCGCTTTCACCACCTCCGAACCGTTAAACTCGTCGGAGTTAATAAGTCCGCATATCCTCAGATTCATTCCCCAATTCGGCTCCTCTAGTGTTTCCGACGTTGCTTCGTCTACCATCTTCGATTCCGGCGTGGGAGTTTGGAGGATTTCCTTCATTTTGCCGCTGACGATACGGCTGAGATTGGCGCTGTTGGTTTTGAGCTTCTCGCCGAATAGAGCTAGCTTGGATTTGTCCATTGGAGTGGGGAAAGTGATGAACCCTAGATCGGGCTGTGTTTTTGTTAGTGAAGGTTGGGAGAATGTGGAAATGGGAAAGTGGAAACTGGAAAGTTCAACTATTGAGGAGAGAGATTTGTGATTTGACTATTGATCGTGTACTAGCACTACTTTTTACTTGGCTGTGTTGATGTACACGTTTCGTTAAACTACTCACCGTTTTGAATCTTGACATTGGACTAGCTCTTTCGGACCCGAAACATATTCCTTTTAAACCAATGGTGAATTTCATTTTACTCAAATATTTAAATTGAGATTAATAATTATGGACTTATATAGTTATAGTGCAACACAATTAAGGATAAACGGTTGAGCTGATCCGAATTAGTTCTTTTTATCCGTTATTTTTGGTGGATTGAGTTAAAAATTTTGGTTCGATAATTTAAGTTGGTATGTCCCGAATAATCTGTTTAAAAAAATGGGTCGAAGCGGGACGGATTTTACTCTTTTTATTAAGAATTAAAATAATTTTAATTATAAAAACAACACTTATCTCTTATAATTTTATTATAAATTATTATACACACAAATTGAATTATAATTGTAACGTTCTTTCTATAACTTTCTAATACATGCGTTGATTGAAAATGATTGAAATAAAAGAACAAATGTATGACATGCATAATTATTAAGTTTTCAATATATTACCTCAGATATTTTCTTTAGAAATAGATATTGATTTTATGAAAAGAAATGATTTGATTAGTGTATACGTGTGACAAATTTATGATTTAACTATTAAAGAATCGGTCAATATAAGAGTCTATATAATGTAAATAGTGAGAAAGTTTGGTGTTTATATTTTACGCATTACTATTTTATACAATGTTATTGTTATCATTGTTGGTTTTGTATAAATTCTAAATTGGATTTTTTTAGTAGTTAGTTTTTAAATAGGATTAAGATGATATGTATTGTTTATTAATTTTGATATTTTTTATTGTGCTTGAGCTTATTTTGTTTTTTTGTTGTAATTCATCTTTATTTATTAAATTTTTTGAATTGTTTGGATTTAAGACATTGTGAAATCTATTATGCGTTGTTAACAAAATTTCTTTATCGACCCATTTGATAGTAATTAAAAAAATTTTAAATTATATATTAAATCAAATTATAAAATTAAAAAAATAAAAATTTGGCGGGTCGACCCGCCAACTTGTTAGTAAACGGAGCGGACTTTACTTTTGAGCTCGGACTTCTAGGTTGACCCACCCCGCTTTACTCCACTTTTGGATGGGTTTAAACGAGACGACCCTAAATGGGACGGACTACCCATTTTGCCACCCATAATCACAACTATTTACAAATATTATTTTATAAATAAGTTAAAATAAAAGTTAATTTTCAATAAATATAACTGTCATAATTCACTGATAATGTAAAATTATTTTATACCGTCAATATATACCAATTAAATTCATTGAAATTTTATATGTATTGAAATTTTCAGTTTTTAAAAATGATTTTTATAATATTATGTGGATTTGTTTTTTACATAATTTTGTATAAAAAATATTTTCAAACAAATTTTTCTTAAAAATTTAATTTAAATAATTATTTTTAAAATATTAATTTAAATATTTCATCTTTTTATTAAAATTCTTTTTAGATATTCAAATTTCAAAAATTATTTAATTTTAAAACTATTTGAAATAGATTTTTTTTCGGGATGATAATTTTGTCATAGTCTCTTTTTCTAAATAATTATATTTTTAAACTTAACAATTTTAGCCTTTAGATATTTTGCACACATTACCACAACCTACCTATACAATTTGGTTTTCCTTTCTTTTGATTCATTTTGGTCTCACACTTAATTTTTAATTAATGTCAGTTTTTATTAGAAAATCACACAAAAAAACCACCATTTAATTCTTGATATTTAGTTTTAAGTAATTATCATCATTATTGACAAAAATTAAAAACAAAAAACAAAAAAAGTCTTAATTCTTTTCTTTTAATAAATACATATTACAGTTTTTTCTTCATCATACATAATATCATCATCAAATTCCTTTTTTTTTTAATTTCATTACACAGAACCTACATTATTTCACATTATCATCACTATTTTCGCAACCATAAAATCATTCAATCATAAACAAAAAAAATCACAAACTCTAACTCAAATTATGTTCACAAATTGTTTAGTTCCAAGAGGCTCACACACAAATGTAAAAAAGAACAACCATTAGAATAAGGAGGACGTGAGTTAGAACAATATTATGTTTCTTTATTTTGAATCCATACAGGAAAAGAAGAAAGCTTCCACGAAATTCTGCGGAATCACTTCTACGCACCAAACGCCATATGCGCGAACCGTCATGACTATGCAACAGCACATCCACAACGCACACGCACAACCATATAAGGACGACGGCGCCGCTCACGCAGCGCTCGCCGGAAACAGTCGACCACTGCCCAGATCGCGCCAACAAGCAGCACACAGACGATCTCTATTCTGAAATGCCATCCGCTCAACATTGTACGGCCACTCCTCACCACTGCCGACGAAATCGAACAACTCCCTCCAACGAACTCGCGATGGCTAGCCACGATCACGAGACTTTCCGGCTACACCGACCATCGCCAAAGAATCCATTTCTAGTTAGCCGTATCCAGATCTTCTTTTTATTCCATGCGTTTTTACTCTCTATTTTATTAGTTACATTTTTCTTCCATTTTTGTTGTATGTGTGTACTGACTTTGTGAAGAATTTAGGGTAAATAAATTAGAAAAACAAAAAAGAAACTTATTTTTTCTAAATAAATTTTCTTTTCAAATCAACAATACCTAAAAATAACTAAAATAATCATTCTTGTACATAATATTAGGGCCTGCCGATTTAATCCAAAAAATCGTCATTTACTTATAAATAAACTTTGTACGTAAATTAAAACAGTTTGTCGAATCAAATTAATTATACATTTTCACAAATAAAATGATAGGTGGATGCACTTCCACCATGTCCTCGAATAATTAATAGGTCGGCTTAATTCCTTATCAATTAATTATTAAAATTAAAATCTTAAAATCCACGACAACTTATCAAATATTTATTTTTCATCAATCAAACACTTTCGTTCCGTGCGACAACAAATCACTCTCGCCCCCGTGCGATTAATTCAAACTCAAACATTTTTTTCAAAACTATAAAATACTAACCAAACATCATTCGAACTACGTAGGACTATGATTTCCCTCTTTCTCCAATTAGAGATACGCAGACACACAGTTGTGAGACCAATGCGAGTCCACTAATAATTTTTCCATGTTTTAACTTTTTATAAATATGTTTCTCATGTAAGTAAATAATTAAAAGCATGTTAGAAATAAGCACACACTTAGTCACCCTAAGATTAAAGAAGGTTTCCCTTGAGTACAAGGAAGGTGAGGGTACATAACACATTCCCCTTACTTAATTAACTCCCGAACCCTTAACTTAATTACAACGACCGTCTTATCCACGCCTTTAGGGTTTTTCCATTAGGTTCCTTGTCTTTAGGACAAATAAATAATGGTGGGAATTTCATTGAATTTTTACAGCTGCGACAACATGTAATGACATGTGTCGACCTATATGAAGTTATTGTATCGGTACGAAGTTACATAAGCTACAGACTTTAAAACAATAGTACATGTGCCGATACATAGAAATTTTCACAATGACATGTGTCGACCTGAAATGAAGAATGTGTCAACACATAGTTACAGAGCCTACAAGCTTTATTATTGATCCACATGTGTCGATGCATAGAACGGATGAGTCGACACATGCAATTGATTATTTTGCAAAATTTAGTTTTTAGTGCATGATACCTATTGACAACTTTTTCAAACATGTTTTAGATGCAATCTATTTTCTAGATGCAATATAAGATCTCTAATGCAAGGGTGCACACAATGACTTAGAGATACCGTTCAATATATAGAAAAGTTAAAGCAATCCTAGTTTTAACATCATACAAAATATCTATTTAAGAGGCAAATGCATTCTCATACTCCCCCTTTTTTATGATGACAAAACTTCAAAACTAGCCATGATGCTTTTCGTTGCTTTTTGTGTCTTCATGAAGGCCCTCCTAAATATGTGCATCCATCTTTCCTTATTATTCTCTCTCTTTGACAACATCAAAAAGAGACAAAGCACACCATGAGAAGTATCATTATTCACACAAATATGACAATATCACACAGAGTTTTGAAAAAGTAAGACAACAACAAACAATAGTATAGCAAAAGTGTTGGACATGTCATGAACAACAAATAAAAACTTAGAACATTGTTTTCACTTCAAAGAAGTGACATAGTTGCTAATGCATGAAAACAAACAAACCAAGAAAGTGACTAAAATGCATGAAACAAAACGCATGACCCAACAAGAAGCAAAAGCACCACACTCTAATGACCCTTATGACTTCTATGAAACGGTCTTCCACCATGATCCACATAACTACGCATGTCTTGATAGAATTGCAAGCTCTCATGATTTTGAATGCTAAGAGTCACCACGTTGTTAATTTTGGTCTGTATAGCAGCGTTGTTAGTACTTCTTTCATTGCGGATAGTAGAAAATTGCATAGTAGCATGTGAGACAAAAGCATCAAAATTTGAATCTTGTGAGGCCAAGTGCTCCTAAACAAGTCTGAACCTTTCAACTTGAGCAGCCTCGAAATTTGTACTCCAAAACAATTCTTCCTCATATCGTTGATCCTGCTTGAGCTGTATATTTTGAAGCATAGCCATTAAGGGTGACTCATTGCTCGATGTAGTCCCAAACTCATTTCTTTAAGAACCAGATCCACGCCATTGGTAACCACCATCATCTTGTTACGGCTAGCTATCTTGTGGCCATTGTCTCCATTCTTGATCAGTAAAAATATTCATCCAAGTTTCCTCTTGCTCATAATCAACATCATCCATGTTCACATCCTCCTGATTAATATCACCAATAAGTTACTCATCAATTATAGGAGCATTCGTGTTAACCTCAAATTCAGTAGGGTTACAAAGTACCTAGTACTTTTAATTTTTAGTTCAGGACTTTAAAGACAATAACTCCATTGTATTTAAAATATAAGCATCACATATTCAACATGTGCTAAATTTGATAGTTTTCTTGGCAAATAATTCTCGTTTTATGAATTTTAAGTTGAATTTATCAATGAATCAACATCATTATCAACCACAAAAATGTTACTTATGAATATATTGTTCAAATATAAGAGCGTACGACAACATATTAATTTATGACAGACCAATATATATTTAAATATATAGAGAAATTTTATCCAAAAAATATGAAATTGAAATCATCTTGTTACCTTTTTAGGCAAAAATTGTTAGATAAAGTTTAATTCTCTTCCTAATCTTTCAATTTGTCAAAATGAATTTCCATATATCTAAGCACTCAGGTGTACTTGTCAATTATCACAAGAAAAGAAAAATATTATTGAATTATAAAATCTCATAAAATAAAGAAATTCATTAGAATAAGTCGTTTACTATAAAGCTAATACTAAGCAATTGACCAATCTGACTAATTTGCCATTTCAATTAAAAAAATTACACTGCAAATTGGACATTAACGTAATTAACAAATTAAAGGAACACTTTCTCATCTATTCATACTACAACCATCATGTGTTACATTTCCATTGGTCTAAATTAAACAAACATTTTACCCTTCATGTAATGCAGCAATGTCTTAATCTTTCTTTCAGACTTCATTTCTTCTCATACCTGCTCCTTCTCTCCCCTACCGAAGTAACACCAAGCATCTTCCTTAGCTCCCAACGTTCATCTTCATCTTCCTCGCAGGTATGTTAACTTTCTCAGCCCAATACTTTACAACACACTTCCTCTTTCTTCCATTACTTTCTCTGTCATTCTTCCATTACTCCCTCTTTCATGAAAAGTTTTATTGAAAACAATTTTTTGAAAGCTCATGAAGTTTTCGTTTTGCTTCAGTTTTCGTTGGTCCAAAATTAATCTTACACTTTCTATGTCATTCTTCCATTGGTCCAAAATTAAAAACTCACTACTACAACACAATAAAAAAACTCACCTCTCGTCTTCTCTCTCTCTCTCTTTCCCCTCAAACCCTACCTCAGCCGCCGCCCCTTTCTCCTCCCTATCTTCAATAAAGAAATCAAAATTCCTTTTCACTCTCACAAGCATCCGAAATTTTTAAACAATCTTAGATATGCATTCTTCTTTTCTCTTACTATTTCGTTTCAATTTCTTTTACAATATTTGTTGTTTGTGTTGTTGTGGCGGTGAACAAGAATAATAATAATGTTTTGGTTTTTCAGGTTTTGATTTCCACTACTTCTTTCTTGCATAAGGTTTCAACTTTACCTACTTTTAGTTTCATGTTATATATATATATGTGCCTATTTTTCAATTTTATATATGCACACCATGTGTTTGATAAAATTCTACTGTGAATTTTCATCAACATCAGGATACTTGATGCTGACAATGAACTAATTAAGCTGAGTGCCAACTATTGTGGTACAAATAATGAGTTGTTTCCTAGCCAACTATCTCGCTGACGCTTTCAAAACGTAGGTACTCTCTTTTTCATTCGCTATGTAGTTCCCAATTTCACAAATCTCATTTTTAGGTCTTTCTAGGTTTCGATGAATTAATGAATTGATGCATTGTCAATTGTTAATTAGTTTATTTTTAATGTGATATTAGGTTGTTTAATTGACTTTGATGCTCAAAAACTGATATTATAATGCAGTTAATTTTTTTTGCTTCCTTTTTTCCCATCTTATAATGCAGGATGATGCTGATTGGGAAAAGTTAGGAGTGAAAGAGGTTAGAGGCTTTTGATATCATTCTCTGTCTATGTTTTTGTTGATCAGATCAGATATTGCATTGATATTACTTTGAAGGTCTTAGAAATAGCTTTTTTACTCGGGCTTAATGTTTCTGTTGTTGTTGCTCATGAAGTGTCCGTTACAAATTTTGGTATTTAGATTGGGAGATTTTCTTATTATTCTCTATGCAAAGTTCAATTACTTATATCCATATGCCATATTTCAGGTTCAGGAGTTCCACCTACAAAAATATATATCACAGAGGGTGTAAGAATCTACTGTTACAAAATTTATGTATTATATCATTTTACATTGCAGTTATTGAGCTACTTGTTTGAAATTCCAACCGTACGTCTTATTCTGGTATGTCTGGATTAGTGGCTTATATTTGTAATTAAATGTTGTTTCACAAAGTAAGTCCATAATAATTTTTTGTTTGTATTCAGGTAGTTAGAGGTATAGATGATTAAATTCCATCACTTCCATCAACAGATGGAGCTCAAATTATTTCATATACAAAGCTTATTAGTCAGGTAATCTAAATGTCTCAGTCAAAGAATGTTACGTTGTGTGTTCATACCTGATTATGTTCAATTATATAGTATTAAATTTACTTGCTTCCTTGGATTATAAGAAGTGTTACTTTGGTAGGGCTCTTGTATCTAATCTATCTATTGCGATCTATCGGTATTAGGTTTCATTTTTATAAATGGTGTTGCAAATTGGAAATTGATTTGATCTGTTTCTATTTGATAAATTTGTCACCTCATTGTTTGTGTGATTTGGATATAGGGGCGCAACAATCTTCATCCCTTTCGCCCTCCAAGGCCTGATAATATTGTAACCATTTGCTATACGAGTAGCACGACTGGAACTCTAAAGGTATGGGGTTCCTATAAAATTACAATTCACTTTTCTCGGTGGTATATTATTCCACTAAAATAGTTTCTTTGATTAATAGTAGTCATATAAAGCATTTCTTATGTTAGTGCACGATGCACTTTAGTGAGGAGAGAATGAGAGAATAAAGGAAATAAGGATTTATATTATTGAATTGTACAAATAATGATACAGACTAGGACTATTTATATACAACCTTAATTATGTTTGGGTCTACACAACTTAGATTATATTTAAATATTAAATCTAATAAAATCTAATATAATATTTTAACAAATCTAATTTAATATTTCAACACACCCCTGATGAGTGCTAAATTGTTGTGAATTTGAGTGTGAATAATTAGCACTCATCGGCTTAATTCGTTTGCTTTTTATCAATAAACTTCAACTTTAGTGTATATTCGGTATAGTTTACGTTATAGTGTCTTTATTGCGTTATTATATAAATATCATTGAGTTTAATTGATTTTATCTCATTTTTGTAGGTATTCAAGCTTTTATATTTAGACATTGTTAGAAAGAGCATTGAATAAGCTTTCCAACGCTTTAAACCGGACGCGAATTGAAGTTACGGTTCAAAAGTTATGGACGAAATAGTGCAAAATATTGTGCTGATTTTTTTAACTTTCTGTCATCCGTCGTCGGGCGACGCTTTTTGGTCGTCGGGCGACGCTAGGCATGCTGTAGCATGGGAAGAACGTTGTTTTGGTCGTCGGGCGACGCTTTTTGGTCGTTGGGTGATGCTGGACAGTCAGAAATGTGTATTTAGTTGTAAAAACACATTTTTTGGGTATGACTTTGGATATTTTTGATCCCAACTCCATCAACCTTCATTTTTGGATAGGATTAGCTTAGAAAACAACATTGAAGCTTGCATACGAATGATCCGGGATGGATTGCTCATCAATCGACACTGATAAACCGGTAGATTTGTGGTTCATTTCTCTTCCTCTTTGTGTATTATTTATGTGATGAGTTTGTACATGTATTTACTCTAAACTTATGTATATTTGTCGCCCAAGGTGTTATATTAAACTTGATTTATAAATCTTTATTGATTGTTGTCCTGGATTTTTGCTTTGTGCTAGGGATTTGAGTTGTTATAGACATATACTGCTTAAAATCTTATCTAGGATGATTATTTGTTAGTTTCTGAACTCTAGAAATAGATTTAGAACTGGCATCTACTTGGGTATCAGAGCTTAATGCCTCTGTGTGGTTATGTTGTACTGAGAGATCGTCATTGTGATTACATAGTTGTCTTCTGTGTTGTTGAGGAGGTAGAGAGATAATTTGCTTGGTGATAGAGTCGGTCTCTCAATTTGGTTTAGAAATGACTTAGGTTGTGAGTGATACGTAGTGACATTGATGAGTATTATTAGGTTAAATGTAATTGGTCGATAGATTTAAGTCTGTGATGAGTAGATTATATGCAGACTTAATAAGTTCTTCCTTAATTTTTCTCTTTTGTTTACATTTATTTTCTGTTGGTAACATTTTCTTTACAAACCAATTCAAACCAAACTCATAAATGCAGGAATTTGTCGAACGACAATTCAATAACCAATCTCTGTGGACATGATAATTTCCTGGATAAATATTTCCAAAACTTTTGTTGCTTGCCGCTACATTGCTTCCAACAAAATGACGCTGTTGTCGGGGACTGGTTCTATTGTTTTTGCATTGCGATAATTATTTTGTTTTTGAGTTTTGTAATGTACATGTTGTATAGAAATTGTACATTAACTTGTATATGATTTTTGTGCATATATGTGGTTTCACGTATTATTGTGAATTGACTTGTTTTCATAAAGTTTGTTGTGTGATTGTTAGGACACTTTCTTTAGGTTTGCGTGGTGTGACAATACCATGGCATGATGAAAAGAGGTTATTAGCTCGCACAATAAAGGCGTCGGGCTTACGACGTAAAACAATCATGTTTATTTGTATTTGTTTTGTTATGTCAATTTGTGTTTTCCGAAAGCTTATCGTGTTTAGCTTTAGGAGTTTTGTTCGTTGTGTATATTGTAAATTTTGTACATTGAAATTTTGTAGGAGTATTATTTTTTTTAATTATTTTGTTGTTGTTTGCACTCAAGTTTTGGTCTGGTAACTTGTAGAATATTGAAGTGATTTATCAAGTTTGATCGTTTTGGCTTGAGAATGTGTGGTAATGATTTTGTTAAAGTTGTATACACGTTCGAAATGTTTGTTTATCACTTTCTATACTTTAGCATATTCATGGTTGTGATACCGTGAGAGAATTGACTTGAGATATTTTGCTTTTATCGCAAATGTTGCGGTTAGCAAGAGTCGCCACTGACTTTTCTTTTATCCAAAAGGAAAGACTGAAAAGAACAGGAAAGACCTTTGAGATTATTTCTTGAGTTCGGGGGGTAGATTATGAAAAGGGAAGGTGTTAGCATCCTTTTCATCCATAGTTATCTATGAGCTCTTAGTTGCTTGCTAGATCACTTGCTTTTGTTTGAAAATGTGCTTTGTGTGGTTTTTGAAAGTATTTTGAAAATGCGCCTTTGTTTAGGCAAACTTTGTAATAGTTCTCGTTCGTAAGAACGTATACAAAGTGTTGGACTTTTGAAAAATGTTTCATGTTTGGAAAGTTTTGAAAGTGTTTGATGTTTGTTTTGAAAATGAGCAAGCAACTAGGAACAATCTACCTACTCAAAATTCTTCGTTCATTTCTTCCTTCCTTTGATATTGCTATTTTACCATTGATTTGGTAAGAAGCCTCGTCTTTGGATGTAAAGGGACGGATGTGGGTCATCGTATAGTCATGATAGCAATGTTGTAAGATATCTTAGCATTTTTCTTTGAGGGACTTAAGATCATTTCGAAAGACAACATTGATAGCGTCATCGAAGGACTATGATCTTGTATTTTTGATTTCTTTTTGCTAAGACATCTCACATGCATAACATGACCATTTTTGTAAGGCAACAAAGTGGAATTACCCTAAGGGTGCAAGTGTGCAAGTGTGTTTGATTTACATGCATTGTTTATCTTGAATTAGGGTTTGCTACTTGTTGGTTTTAGTCTTTACATACAAACCCTAATTTACTATATTTATAAAGCGATAAATTGCGGAAAGTAAAATTACTACGCTATTACATCATTTGGGGAGGGGGTGTACAAATTTACAAATGGGGATTTTACAAGAAAATTAAACCAAATTAACTATTACAATCATATTGAATATTGTACAAGAATTGAAGAAATAAAAATGCAAGAATATAAATGGAAAAGAAAATGATTTTTTTTTGGATTTTTAAGAAAGAGTTTAGTTTTGACCTAATTAGAGAAAATGATTAATTAAAATAAAATTAAACCTAAACTAGTTAAGAGAAGAAATTAAGTTTGAAATATTTTTTAGGGTTTTTTGTGAAAGATTTTAAATTAATAAAAATAATATGTAAATTAATTAATTAAAAGAAACCTAAGTTATAAATTAATAAAAAAAAGAAAAATAATACTCAAACCTAAATCTAAATATTTATTTATTAAAATAAAAATTAAATTGTTAAGAAAATATTTTTTGTTCTCTTTGTTTCATAAAGAAAATAAATAAATAAAATGTGAAAATAATAATAATAATAATATTTTAGATTTTTTTATTAATAAAAATAAAAATTATATTAATAATAATAATAATAATAATAAATAATAAAAGAAAACTGAAATAAAATAAATGAAAATAAAAAAGAGTTGGGCAGGATGCAAAAGTAAACAGGGGGGTTAGAGAAAGCAAAAAAGGGAAGGCCCAATGTTGGAGGCTCAGGCGCCTGTAGCTGAAACAAAAAAAGAATGAAAAATGTTGAAAAATTGCATAAAAGATAGCGCTGGGTGTTGAACCCCTGACCTCTAACACAAACACGCACTACCTTTACCACTGAGGTGGCTGTACATCTGTTAACTTGTATCAAACCATAAATATATATTACAAATCAAGTCGATGGCCTGAACTTTATCTTCAACCTCCAGCCTGAACATCTGTAACTTCACCATTTTTCAACAAAAATGAAAGATGCAAACATGAAAGTTGCTTCATTTTTCCATACGAGTCCAACCATGTAAATATCATAAGCTATAAATCAAAGATGAATGAGAATTTCTAAAAGTACCAAATTCTGACCTAATTATTTTCAGAGATTCAAACCTAAAATTCTCTAAACTCAAGCAATATAAATGAGATCTATGGACATGTACAACTTCAGGGCAATGATGTTTACATTTTATCTTCATAAATGCAAGCCTAACAATGCCTAAATGAGAAGATAGAAGTTCAAAAAATGTACTTCAAAACTGGAAACTGTGAAATGAGTTTGAGCTGCTTTCAAGGAGTTGTGATGATCAGGTTAGCTTCCTCAAGTTCCTAGGAAGCTAATACAATGATTAGCTTGAGCGATGGATGGCTGGAATGGCTTGGAGAAGTCAATGTGCAGACTCTGTTTTTTGGTTATGGAGATTATGGTAAATGGTGTTACAATAATGAAACAGGGGCATGGATAGGTTATATTTGATGTGTAGGAACTTTAGGAACCAAAAGGCCAAGAAATACACGAGGGAATTATGAGTTACAAGTTCAAAGTCAGAAACTGTGCAGCAATGGAGTTTTTTGAAAATTTTTGGATTGGGGGAGTTTGGGAGTGTTTCAGGGTGTTAATGCTCGCGTGTTAGCCTGCAAATAGGGCCTCTATTTATAAGCAATAAGTTTATATGCTTGCATTTGATCAGAATTCAAAATCACATGTTTAAGCTCAACGTGTGATTTTCTTGAGAAATCAAGTTTCAAGTACTTGCTACTGTAGAGTGGTTATGCTTTAAAAAAACTTGCTTCTGACTTTGTAGATGGAGTGTGATCAGAGGGAACAAGTGAGAGGCTCAAGAATTGACTTTGTGCATAAAGCTTGCTTTTCAAGAATGACATTGTTAACTTTCTTCCCAAAATGGCAATTTAAATTGGACAATGCTTAAACCACTTGGATTATAGCTCAAAAGTTTGTGTAATCCATTAATGATGGATAGATACACAAGTTAGAAGGCCTGCAAAGTAATATTATGCAGCCTAACATTGAGATTGGATTATGTGTTCATCAAGAAATGACTTGTAATTCAAGAATGAAACCCTAACTTCTTGCCTTCGGTTCTCCTTGCTCAAGTATGATCTTAATGAGTTCTTGGACATTTTGGAAAGCTTATAGAATCCTCTAAAACCTCTATGTTGGACATTTTTGAATATTCATCTTGGAACTATTTGAAAAATTTCCATGAAGTTAGGTCAAAATCCTGCCTAAACTAGGGCAAAATTTCACTAAGTTTTTAAGTTTCATGAACATGTCTTCTTAAAATCATAACTTGAAATCCATTCATTTCTAGAAGAAGTTATGTTCTAAAATGTTTTATATCTCATTGAGATCTATAACTTTAATGTTGGAAGTTTCCTTTGAATCATCTTGTATCATGGTGGAAATTTGACTCAAAGTTATGAAAAAAAAGTGAATTTCCAATACTTAGAAAAATTTCTAAGTTTAGAAATTTTGACTTTTCAAAATGAAATCTTGACTTTTTGATTTTTTGATGAACAAGTTTCATATTTTGACATGCCTTGATGAATTTTGGTCTTTGATACTTGATTTTAACCAAAAAATCAAAGTTTGACTTTTTAGTGTACAGTTGACTTTTCATCAGTTGACTGAAATTCATCTGTCAGCCAATTGATCTTGAGGAATGTTTTGAGCCATGTCATTAGGCCAAAATGAAATATTTGAAACCTTGAGATCATAACTTAAACCAACCAATCATTTGC